CGTCTGTCGATGGCCACCCTCTAGAACCATCTGCTGCTGACCCCTGCCAAAACCTGTTATGTTTACAGGGGTGGTCCATGAAGAGTCCCTGGGGGCCCCACATAGCTGGGCGTTGGCTTTTCCTCCCCCCTCTTCCTGCCACCAGCTGACCGCTCTCTCTTTGGATCTTTATTTTGACGTCAACATTTTTAGTTTTACATACAAATAGGGGTTTGCAGGTATTATCAATAAAGTTATAGCATATATACAAAATATGGGGGTGGCAGCAAACAGAAACGGTGTACATTCCAAAAGAAGGGCAGGATCTTTTAAGGTATCGGCTCTAATTGGAAGATATGTAACATATACTAAGAGTGTCATACAGTTTATAATATACGATATATATAAATTGGGTTGGCCAAATTTCAGGGAACAGGCTAAATCAATGTTTAGTTGATTTCTGTTCCACCAGATGGCGCTCTGCCTTATGTAAAGCACATGTGCTCCTGGTCAGGATATGCCATTTTTAATATATATGTGTCTGTGTGTGTGTGAAATAGCAATGGAAAAATAATAAAAAGGTCAGGTGTTGAAATCAATATTAAAAATGGCATATCCTGACCAGGAACACATGTGCTTTTCAGAAGGTAGAGATCCATCTGGTGGAACAGAAATCAACTAAACATCGATTTAGCCTGTTCCCTGATATTCGGCCAAACCAATGTTTTGATAAATCAAGATGGCCCTTTGCCTTCTGAAAAGCACATGTGCTCCTTGTCAGGATATACCTTTTTTATTTTTAATATATATATATATTATTAAAAAGGCATATATATTGGATCAAAATCTATAATTTATTTACCAATATTTCGATCCAATATATGCCTTTTTTAATTAAAGATCTATTTAAGTATTGCTCTAATTTCAATGTTGATTTGGTCTTATTACCTTGTTTTATAATCTATAATACAAATTGTGCCTTATCTGAAATAATTCTAATAATCTACAACGGATATCAATAAAATAATAATATACCTAAATATCCTTCGTCACTAGGCACCTGTACATTTAATTTGTGCAATAGCGATTTTAGCCAGCACTTTCCACACTATGTGTTTTATAGTCCGGCACTGGAAGAGGAGAGAGATATTCTCAGATAAAAGATTGGCTTTGAAAATAATTCGCCTAATGTTTTATTAAGTAATTACGGCAAAAATGTGCATGTCCGCCGTCCGTCGCCGGCTAGGTATTTGCATCTTTTTCATTAGTTAATTCTGAATGACTTTCAGTCATTTCAGAATATTTTGGCGATTTCTCTTGGCCGTTTTGGATCATTTTTAAATGAGCTTGCAGCCCATTCGTTTGGCTTTCAGCCAATTCCCCATAGGGGTTAGAAATATCGATTTCCTCAATCTCTATCCCATAATATGTTTTGATAAGTAGTGAACAGCTAGCCCAGTGCACTGATTTTTTCAAATATTATGGAGAACAGCACAGAGAATAGGGGTAACACGGTGACAGCCACTTTGCCAGCTAAACACCTCTTTGGCAGATTTTCAAGATTCCATTAGTTCCCGTGTGGATCTCATGGAATAAAGTCCGCCCTAGACTGACGAGGCCAATTAGCCTAAAACCATGGTCTCTAGGTGGACGCTTCTCAGTTTGCCAAAGCTGGTGTTGTGGCTTTGTCACCGACCCGAGGCAGCTAGTTGCGGCGACGGTCAATAGATGGCGTCAGGTTTTGACGTTTATTTTGACGGGAGAAACGCCCTAAGCTTCTATGGATCAATTTCCTCCTGGCTAATTATCCATCTATATATAGATGGAAATTTTGCCGGGAAGAATTTGATATGAAGAGACAAGGTGCGGCGACAGTCAATAGATGGCGTCTGGTTTTAGACGTCTATTTTGACAGGAGAGGCGACCCTTGTCTCTTTATATACATATATGTTATAAATATTTGATAAAGGGTTGATAAGACAAAGGATCGATAAGATAAGGGGTTGAGGTGCAGAAGTGATAAAAAAAGATAATTATTTACCGTCAAGTAGCTTTTATTTTCAATTACTTGAGGAAAGATTACACATTAGTTATCTTCACATTATATAGAATTTATAAAGTTAATCCTATATTAGTGATTTAAAAGGATAGATATGTTAACTACGCATATTTACAACAAAACTACACAACAAAACTGAAAGTCTTTCTAAAACGATGATAACAAAAATAAAATTATCAATGAATAAAAATAAAATATATATTTTTTAAAATATAGAAATTTTTGAGTTTTTAGATTATATATAATATATATATATATATATATATATATATATATATTAAAATAAAATTAGCATTTCCTGACTATTCAAATGAGCTTTTTGATGTCAGAGTGCCATCTAGTGGAACAAGAAACAATTAAACGTTAATTTAGCTTGTTTCAGAAATATTTGGCCAACCAAATTTTTTGATGAATCGTGAAAAGTAAACCAAGTACACATTATATAAATAGTGTTATTTTAAAATTACCTTATGAGATTGAGATTGAAACTACTTTATTTTAAAGTCCATATATGATTATGTAAGGTTTATGCTCGAAACTGGGCAACTCTGTGCTTCATTTCCATCAATAATTGACAAAATGACCCAGAATAAGTATATTGCTACGGCGTTTTATGGTTTCCACAAATCCATATCTCAGAAGAAGGCCAAGTGACACTCACTCCTCACTTTCTTACTGCTACTCTTTTTGTGTTGTTCTTCTTGCTTCCCTCTTTCTCTTTCTTGTTTTTTTTTTTCTTTTTCTTCTGTCTATATCGTCGTTTCCTTTGTCTCACTGCTTTGTTCTTATGCATACCTCTGGTGAATCCTGTATAGGGTCAGTTACCCTAAATAAAGGCTTTTTGTTGTTGATTATGTAAGGTTAAATACAGAATAAATATAAAATAGGAGCAGGAGAGGTAAGAAATATATTGATTTTTTAGAAATAACGATATTTCTAGAATAAATTATAAAATTGTCGAAAAAGAGCGTTTCATTTTAAAAAAATTTAAAATTATCGGGTTTCCAAAATAATATTAGATGGTATTGATACAAAATTACAAGTATCAATCTTTATATGTGAAAAAATAATTTAAAATATTAATAAAAAGTTCAGGTATTAGTATTAAAATAAAAAAAATCATATCCTGACCAAAATCATATGAGTTCATTAGATGGCAGAGCGCCATCTAGTGAAACAGAAATCAACTAAACATCGATTTAGCTTGTTTCCTGATATTTGGCCAACCTATTTTCATTTAAAGAAAAGCCAACCACGTACGCATTTCGGGCTGTTGGCCCTCGTCAGCGTGGAGCAGGTTTTACCTCTACGAACAAAAAAAATGTTGGTCCCAGAGGTATCTTAAGAAATCAAGAAATGGGTATTTAAGGCCAAATTTACGTAAAGTTACGCTGAACCTGTGAAAAAATAATTTGAAATATAAAATAATGCGAACATTCTTTAGTTTGGTCAGGATTTGCCTTTTTTATTTTAATCTTTATACTGTTAAACCTGTCTATAGCGCCCCCTCTTGGGACTCACCAAAATAGGGTGCTATAGAGAGGGGGTGCTAAAGACAGGCCACTTTTAATGTAAATTGCATCGTACTGCGTATTTAAAATCGGGCGCTATAAAGAGGGAGGCGCTATTTAGAGGGGGCGCTATAGACAGGTTTAACTTTATGTTCAAATTTATTATACAAAATGTATTTATGAGAGTTAAAAAAAAGATTAATAATTTGTTTCAACACACTACTCCTTTCAAAAATCATTCTAAATGCAATATAATGACAATTGAAGAGCAATTACATATCTCTTCTTAAATTCAATATACTTATTTTTATATTTATTTTAGTTTTCAATTTTTTACAGCACGTGTTTTGGTTTTGCCATTTATTACATATGGTTCAGGTTCCTAATATATATTATTGTTTCTCTTTTTTATTTTTTTTCTTGTATAATATTTTTATAACTGTTTCTGTTTGAAAATGTAAATAGACGCAATTATCCCTAGCCGGGATATTGCGTTTTGTGTGTTGAAATAAGAAAAAAGTCTATTACATAATGACATATTTTAAGGTCAAACGAATTGATTGGGTATCGTTGCATAACATTAAATATCAGCTTTTTGAAACTATTAAAGACGCGTAAGATTCTTTTTGAAATTAAACAATTTCTACTGCTCTTACTGCAATGGAAAAAATTAATGGGAGGGCCTGGCTCATCAGTGTTGAACCCTTCAGCGGTTTCGGCAGTTTAACCATTGCAGTAAGGGGGCAGTAGAAATTGTTTAAGTTCAAAAAAGAATCATACGCGTCTTTAATAGTTTCGAATTTGTATAACAGATGGCTCGCTAGTGTATCATAGTATAAATGTTCTAATATCAGCTTTTGTGGTGTCCAACTGGCGAATTGTCAATATGTCGTGATGATACATTACGTAGATGCAACCAATAAAAAAAAAACGATCCAGCTAGGAGTCTTCTGATATATATATCCAAGATAGCATGTCATGTGTTTTCCTCTCTCTCTGCGAAATACCCCTGGATTTGCAGGTCTGACTCTTCGGTGTCGCCCTCTATGGCAGTGAAGCTAACAAGTGTGGCGAAGGCTACCATCTACAAGTACCTTCTTGGTCTTGAGTTGGGTAATGCCAGCCAACACATCGACCTGCCCACTCTGTGGGAAAGAACTCTCGCAGTCCATCGGTGGCGGAGTCTTTCCCGCAGTGGGCGGCACCAATGACGACTTGTATATATATTTATACTAGCCGAATGACCCGGGCAACGCCCGGGGTTTACCCGATTAAATGCTTTTATTAAAATACTATTCGTTACAATTATAAATTGTCGCCGTGGATGTCATTCTTGTTTAATATATAAATGAGTTTTAAAAATTGTAAAAAAAAAAAATGCATAGGCCGGGAATCGAACCCGGGGCGCCCGCCACTATAATATATAAATGAGTTTTAAAAATTGAAAAAAAAAAATGCATCGGCCGGGAATCGAACCCGGGGCGCCCGCGTGGCAAGCGAGCATTCTACCACTGACCTTATATATTCTTATATGGACATTGTAATAAATCAGTTTCAATCTCAATCTCTCTCTCTATCTCCACTATCTCTATCTCCACCGCTACTGGTTCTGTAGCGCCGTCCGTCCTCTCATCCGAGAGACATTCTCCATCATCGGGCGGCCCCCGGACCTTTAGTCCTGGATCATCGCGGTGGATCTCGAGGACCATGACATCACCATCTCCTCAGCGGCGAATCACGCGATCTACGTTTATTTTCGTATATCGCGAAATGCGTGGTATTGCTGTAGACCCGTTGGCGATCTTCCATCAAACTCTGCAGCGTTGTCGCCATGTACATATTCATTGTACAACATAGCATATATTTTTTGTATTTTTTATTTTCCTTCTTTTTATATATATTATTTTTCATATCTACTACTTGAATAGTGCGGACTGTACACTTTTGCCTATATTTCGACGGGATGTCAATAAAACTATGTTATTTGTCAATTTGTCTCTCTCTTACATCACAGCTACAATTGTCCTAACATAACATTCTCTTACAACCTACATACAATATCATACAACATCTTACATACATACTTGTAGCATTCTCTGATGATAATTTCACCCTAACATCAAAGACCTTTTATAATGTATCGAAATTTATTCATGTATTACACACACACACACAAAAGCCTTTATTAAGGCCTTGCCCCATACAGATTTTCCCAATTGGGTAAGGTAATGATCATCTTGTGTTATTTACATACAAATTGAACTGGCTTTACTCTTCATCTCAAAGTCATTCACTTAATTGACTGGTCCTTACATAATGATGATCTAAAATATTAATAGTAAGCTATTGTCTTAGATTTGTTTGCTGATATTTTTGAAACCAATACGTAGGGTGAAGTGTTGGTACATTTAATTTGTTGATATAGGGCCTTCCTCTCAAGGGCTGTACAATTAAGCAGGTAATGGGGGAGTTCTTCAGTAATTCCTTTGTAACATAGTGTACATATTAGGTTTTTGGCCTCAAACGTCAGAACGTGTTTTTTAAGACTGTAAATAGTATTCTCGATTGAGATATATTATTTTGACTGGTATAGGGAAATCATCGGTTAGGTAGCATTCTGTTTCTATTGTCACACTCTGCATAGTTAATTTGTAAAAATATGTAAATTAGTTTAAAATAATTGGTAATAGAAATTTATGTAAATAAGGCTTTTGATATAAGAGCGAGATACAATTAGTTGATAGAGCTTCTTTTTTTTTTTTTTTAGTTTAGTTCGTTGTTACTCTAAATCTCCTAGAGTCAGTTTAACTTTTTTTCATTATTAATAAAATATAGTTGTTTGCTTTATGAGAACGCGGTCTGGTTTATTTTATGAGATGGCGAACGCTGATCAGAAACCTTTAGAAGCACCTACGGTCGAGGCAGGTGTAACACTATTGAGGTATGTAAATTTTTATAATGTGGATAAAGTTTTGAATTTCTTATTCTTGATTGGTCTTCTTGTATCGATTTATCTGACATTGTCCTAATAATCAAAGAAATATAACTTTGCAATAAATTGTGATCCTAGCATCCGATAAGCCATGAGAAACCGGTGTTATTTAATGTATTTGTTGAACTCTTTGTAAATCCAATATTTTGTCTGGTAGAGGTATAAACATCCCACAAGTGAGCCAAACAGAGTGAATGTAATCTCGTAGTGTCCATTTTTAACATTCTTAGCCAGAATTATTCCTTTATTTCTAAAATCTTATTTAAATTATAATTTTGAATCATAGGAAAAATATTATAATGTTTATATTTCAGATAAAACCATTACACAAGAAATTGCAAAGAATCATAAAATTATTAATAAAATCATTAAAATATATGATTAAGTATATTTATGAACAAACGATTGAATTTCGAAAAAAAAAAACTTCCTTTAATCGAAATATATCCAGAAATGACACTTCATACTAATGAGAAGGGATCGCAAATTTACACAGATTACAGCAAAAATTAAATTAAGTACAAAGTTATTGGTTGTACCTTATCTCCGCCTTTTACAGTCCCAATTCCGGAAGAAAAAGGAGAAGTGGGAGCAGAAACAATCTCGCTTAAAACACCTGAGCTTAGCTGGTCATGCTGATAGTACCCTGTAAGGGCTCCTGATCCAGGGATAGAGGTTGAGTCTGTACTCTATGTTAGGAGCGGCTGCACATGGCGTCTGTTCCTCATGTCAGAGGCGGACATTTCAGTAAATATGCTCATACCACCCTCTGTATCTACACTGGCTTCTCGGAGGACTGTAAATAAATATTCCATATCAGTTCGAAAATACCAAGCTCATATTATAAATTCAAATGAAGATATTTTCCATCCTCTCTTCATAACTCTATTTTCCACTTTATGTTCATAAATAAACACTTTATCATTTTTTTTTTGCTTATCCCTAGTACATGTGATACAGGCCATGATAATCATAGTGGGTAGTTAGCGACTGCTTTTACTCTAAGCGCACCACATGTCTACACATGTGTAAAGCAGTTCGACTTTGCACTTACAAATGTGCCAGAGCCCTGTTTAGTTACTTGCACTCGCTGGTGGGGTTGGACTTTTGCAAGAGTCGGGGGCCATTGGAGCTTCTTTTTTATCATGTTTTAGAGTGAGTTATCTAGAGGTATATGGATTAGAGAAATCTTAACTGTTCCATCCTGGCCACTCTGAAGATATTTCAAGTCTATAGAGAGAGAAACTACAGGAAACCAGAGCTCCTGGAGTGAATATCACCAACAACGAAGCTTTATATGTTTCTATAAATAGATATTTAAATTGAGAGACCTAGAGAAATATTTATTTAAGATTCAAGTACAGTATTAAACTTTTGAATTCAGCATTGGATATTATACATATTTTAAAATTACACGAAATTGCATTTTATAAAATGTATATGAATATTATTTTTTCTATCTTGTAAATGTATTAAAATTAATATGTTTAATGGAATTGAAATATAAAATTATATTAATTAAACGCTAACAATTAAACATTAAATCTAATTTGTGCCATCTAGGAACAGGTAAAAGATTCAAATTCATATATATATCTATATTTATAAAAATGAATGTTTGTATGTTTGTCTGTTGGTTGGTTGGTTGGTTTGTATGTCCGGTATACAAATTCGCAGTAGTTCACTAATTCAAACCAAAATTTCAATACATAGGTAAAAAATAACGAGGATGACGATAGGCTATTTTAAAAAATATATAAATCAATTATTAAAGCTATATATTCAAATTATTCTACTTAGCTCACGAGCAGCGCCCTCTAGAACGCAGCGATTTTGACGGCGGGCGGCGCCCATTGGCTTACGGCGCAGCACGTGACTTCCCTGCCCCCCCGCCGAGTAAATGAGATCTCCCAGCTGCCGGCCGGCTGAGCTCACGAGCAGCGCCCTCTAGAACGCGTGGCGATTTTGACGGCGGGGGGCGCTCCCGGTTGGACAGTTGCGCGGGGACAGAGTGACCTCGCGGATGCCCTCCGGGAACTACGTCCATCTTCCATATGTAATATACATTTAATCGTGTAAACCCGGGCGTTGCCCGGGTCATTCGTCTTATTTATATATATATATTATTTATATAATTGTAACTAATAGTATTTGAATAAAAACATTTAATCGGGTAAGACCCGGGCGTTGCCCGGGTCATTCGTCTAGTATATATATATACTAGACGCCGACCCGGGCTTCGCCCCGGGATTGACCCGTGTGCATATCTACCCGAGTGATATATATTTAGATAAGATTTTTTTAAATAATTGTTTTTACTCAAGGGAAAGTTTGTAGTCTAGTACGTTGATATAATCAATCTATCTGAATATTAGGAAAGGTCAGGTAATTTTTTTGTAGGGTGATGCTCTGAAAAAGAACGCTATACCACTTTATCACTAAACAAATTGGCGAGTCAAAAATAAGCAACCTAAACAATCCATTAGCTTTGCAAGATAAGAACAGGAATAGAGAAATGCATGCAAAATTTTAAACACAAATCAAAATCTTTAATCCTCACTATTTTTTTATTTTTTTTTTTTTGCTTATCCCTAGTACACGTGGTACAGGCCATGATAAGCATGGTGGGTAGTTAGCGACTGCTTTTTACTGTAAGCGCACCACATGTCTACACATGTGAAAGCAGTTTGACTTTGCACTTACAAATGTGCCAGAGCCCCGTTTGGTTACTTGCACTCGCTGGTGGGGTTGGACTTTTGCAAGAATCGGGGGGGCCATTGGAGCATTTTTTTTTTAACAGAAAAAAGTGTCCAATGCGGGGATCGAACCCGGGACGTAGTGGTCGTATTTTGTTTCTATTACATTACATGGAATAGTTTTTTTTTTTCTAATAAAATTTACTGACCTCTTTGTTCACTGAAACCAAAACAATTTGATGAAACTATTGATATAATCAATCTATCTGAATATTAGGAAAGGTCAGGTAATTTTTTTGTAGGGTGATGCTCTGAAAAAGAACGCTATACCACTTTATCACTAAACAAATTGGCGAGTCAAAAATAAGCAACCTAAACAATCCATTAGCTTTGCAAGATAAGAACAGAAATAGAGAAATGCATGCAAAATTTTCAACACAAATCAAAATCTTTAATCCTCATTATTTTTTTATTTTTTATTTTTTGCTTATCCCTAGTACACGTGGTACAGGCCATGATAAACATGGTGGGTAGTTAGCGACTGCTTTTTACTGTAAGCGCACCACATGTCTACACATGTGAAAGCAGTTCGACTTTGCACTTACAAATGTGCCAGAGCCCCGTTTGGTTACTTGCACTCGCTGGTGGGGTTGGACTTTTGCAAGAATCGGGGGGGCCATTGGAGCATTTTTTTTTTAACAGAAAAAAGTGTCCAATGCGGGGATCGAACCCGGGACGTAGTGGTCGTATTTTGTTTCTATTACATTACATGGAATAGTTTTTTTTTTTTTTTCTAATAAAATTTACTGACCTCGTTGTTCACTGAAACCGAAACAATT